ATCCGCTTGTTGTGGTTACTCATGTCTTCAGCGTCCCGGATAACGTTTAGACAATCTGTTCGGAAGGTAACTTCGGTCTCAATAGCGAACTGCCTCGACGGCATTCTTGACCGGCGTTGCGCATCCATGTACCGCAAAAGCCCAGCGCGCAATCTGCGCCGAAGTTCACATTCTCGGGCACTGCTCCAGGGCTTTTGTATACAGCCATCTTCGATGCCACCGTAGTTTGCTTTCCGAGCCTCGGGAGATACATAGTTTGTGATTTCAAGAGATTCGACCTTATCCGCCCATTCGTTGGCGGGGAAATCTCGGAGCGTTCGGAACAAGGCGAATGCTTTCGAAAGTGGAACGGTAAGTGCTTTGAGCTCGTGAAAGGTGGTTCGAACGACTTTGGGGAAGCGAGTGTTCGCAGCGGCGAGGGATGTTAGATTTCCGTAGGCGCTTCGGTCAAAGCGCGGCTCGACTATAAGTTGAGGGATGATTTGGAGAAGTAGTTCGTCGGGGAGGTCCCTGATGCTGGCCTTGGGAATACTGCTGGCTGTGGAGGACGACATGGCTGAAGATCAATAGTCTGCGAGCGTGCGGAGGGGTAAATTTACGAATAAAGAGTATAAACAACAGTGATCATATGAAGGAAAAGGAGAGTAAATTCATAAGCAGGTGTTAGTAGGCACCCGTCTGACTACACAAGTGCCCCTCTATGCGTTCGATTAGGATAGACATGATAGAAAGTGCGGGGCAATGGGATCGAAGCGTAACCAAACAAGGCGAGATAGGGAATGTTCAAGCAAGATTCCCTAGCCAACATGTGCTGTTGCCTGGAAGGGGGTTCCGTCTCGAGTGAAATGATCGCAAGACCGGTCTCCATATAACGGGTAACAAGTGCAATAGCCAAGAGCTTCCGGGACAGTGGACAGTAGCGGACGTAGTGTACATTAGAGAAGGCTGTCGTCCATTCCAGTATATGAAGGAGAGTCGTCAAAGAAACCGCGGGAGCTGCTATGTGCCTCTGTTGTACGCCGAGAACAATTGTTGTGAGTACTTTCTTTCGTGGCTTGTCATTTGCGGGCAAATCCGGTCTGTCGCTGGTATCGAACCTGTCTCCAAGCTCAGTGCTGATTAGACGACAGACGAGTCTTGTGATGAGATCATCGAGCACACCGACACAATCGTAACAGTGGCCGTACTTCGACCTCCTCGGGGGCGATATCAATGCAGCCCCGACGTAACAGGGACTTGTATGTGGTCAAGTGATGGAGGAGCAACCCCTGCGTGTATGAAACGGACGTCCACGTACTCAAAGGGCCTGAAAGGGGGCGTCTTCCCAGGAACAGATTTCTGTCACTGCCGTTGTTCATATCCTGTCCAGTACGCAATGTGACTGCACCTTGAGATACGGCATCGGACCGTGCAAGATTTAATGTGGTTCTGCGACCAGCGGCCTTGCATTCACAACCTGCCTAGGGGCGGGTGACTGCTGACTCGGACCGATTCGATCGCTGAAGGGATCGTCCGCCAACGGTTTTCTCCGCAGGCACATTCTCATATTCATTACTGGCGATAATTCTCTGCTACAACTCGTCGAGTGACATCGTCGAACTCGGCGAGAAGAAAGGTGTTGCGACTACACGTTCATGTCCGGTGATAGACTAGCATAGTGCTCTCTGGACTACCAATTCGATAGTTAGAAGGCTCGAAGCTGAGGTTTGCGTGTAGCTCGACACGGGCATTCGATGTGGAGCAGGCACGTGGCGTGGAGACGCGTCGGGAAATTGCTGATGGCCCAATTCGTCCAGACAGCGCTAATCCTCCACCAGTTCGGTAAAGCCAGGGTCAAGGCACGGGTAAAATCTCCAACGGCCGTCTCGTGGTTGTAGCGCGATGTCAACAAAAGGCTGCGTCATGGAAGGTCTACCGTGCGCGTTATGAAGGCACTAAGCCGTGTTGGTCAACGCTACGCCGCTTGGGGAACATTCGGGCCGATCCAGGAAGGAGTGTGCCTGAGCAGTGGCTTCCGACGATCGGGCAAAGACACCACCGTACTTTCTGTATAACCGCGACTCAGTAGTTTACGCGATCACGTCGTGGACTGCAGCTTCAAACATACTTGAGTAACTGGAGACAACAAACTGCAGCTCGTCTACACTAGAAGACGCGCATACAGGCCGATCGTTCACGTTGTAACGGTGAGATGTGGCTGAGCGGACTGCAACCCACTGACAAGGAACAAAGAGCCGCTCTGAGAACGACCAATGCAGCGACGATACCAGTGCGATGGCAGCCCTATCTAAGCTTTTCTCACTGAATGGGTCATACCAATGAGTCGCAGGAGACGTCTACGATAGTCCGCATCGAAGCCGCGAGTTCCGCGCCCTGGCAGTTCTACCCCTGATGCCGATCCCAATCGACACCAACACGATGACCTGAAGCGCACAGGTTATGACTCGGGACTGTTAGAGGCACAGCGAAATAGGAAGAGCTTTGGGAACCTGAAAGCGGCGTCGCGCATGGCGCATGCACTTGAAAGCGTCCTGATTAAGGTTCCTCTTGGTAAGGCGAACTAAATGAATTCAGGGATGCATATCTGGAAAAGCCACGACCGACAGTATCTATGCCAAGCTGCCAGCCTCAAGACAAGATACGGTGAGGCTGTCAAATCTGCCATACTCCAGCTAGAAATTACTCGAGCGGGGCAAAGGACCCGTGCTGGTGGTTTCCACCTTTATGGGGTCACCAACAGCGATCTACGCTCATGATACCACTTCATAATGGCCGAATGCATGGGTCACTCCAGTGGATCAACTACGGACACCCTGGAATCAGGCTTCGTCATGTCGATCGACATCCTACTGGTCTTCCTAATGCACACAACGGTGATATACCGGACATTACTGTGCTGCCACACTTGTACATGGTGTGGCGTTAGGAGAGAGACGTTGGAGTGGGTGAGTATATAAGTACTATCGGCTCCGACTTGAGGAAAAGTATCAACCAGCTACAGATCCACAGTCATTCCTTTTTTACGACACTCGCTTTTTGCTCCAACTATTTTACAGTCTTTCCAAGAACCCTAATTCTCCCAAGATGCGTTTCAACGTCCCCGCCATTCTTGCAGCCGCCGCTGTTGCGAACGCCGCTGTTATTCCCCAGATCCCCAAGGTTGATGGCGTCGTTGGTGGCGCCACATCTGGCGTCTCTTCCACCGTCAACGTGAGTACACTACAAGTCGCCTTATGATTACTCAACTGACAACTTCAACAGAAGGTTGAGGGTGTCGCAAGCCCCAAGATCAACGCCTCCATCGGTCGCCGTGTGAACGCAAAGGTCGGCACCAAGTTCGGCTCCGTAGACGCCTCCGTCGACCCCAAGAAGATCAACGCCAACGTTGGTGCCCACATCACCAGGCGCCAGGTCCCTGACGTTAAGCCCATCGTTGGTGGTGCTACCTCCGGCGTTACCTCCACTGTCAACGACGTCAAGAACGTCGGTGCCGACGCCAAGGTCGAGGCTCTCGACGACGTTGTCGAGGTTGAGGTTGGCAAGCGCCAGGAGCTCCCTGTCGCTGGTGACCTCGTCAACGGTGCTACCTCCAAGGTCACCTCCACTGTCGACGACGTCAAGAACATCGATGCCAAGGTCGATGCCCTCGGTGCTTCCATCGACGCTTCCATCGGCAAGCGCCAGGACCTTCCCGTTGTTGGCGACCTCCCCGTTGCTGGCGGCGCTGCCGGTGACGTTACCTCCAAGGTTGGATCTACTCTCGCCGACGTCCAGAACCTAGACGTCAACGGCATCGCTGAGGGTGTCACCGCCCCCGTTGCCCCCGTTGTTGACGGTGTCGAGTCTGCTCTCAAGCCTGTTGTCGACGGTGTCGAGCAGGCTGTTGCCCCTGTCACTGGCGCCGTCTCCGGTCTTGTTACCCCCATTGTCAACGACGTCAAGGACAGCGCTCTCGGTGCCGTCAACGGCGTTACCTCCAAGGTTAAGTCCACTGTTGGATCCACTGTTGACGACGTCAAGAACACCACTGGTTCCGCTTCCGCTCTTGGTCAGTCCGCTGACGCTGCTGTCACCAAGCGCCAGGTTCCTGACGTCGCTCCGGTTGTTGGTGGTGCCACTGGTGCCGTCGAGCCTGTTGCCAACACTGCCACTGGTGCCGTCAAGCCTGCTGTTGACACCGTCGAGGGTGCCGTCAAGCCTGCCGTCGACACCGTCAAGGGCGCTGTTGAGCCCGCTGTCAACACCGTCAAGGGCGCCGTCGAGCCTGTTGTCAACACTGTCTCCGGTGTTGTCTCCCCTGTTGTCGACAACGTCAAGGGCGTAGCCGGATCTACCGTCAAGACCGCCACCGACAAGGTCGGCTCCACCGTCGACGACGTCAAGAACATTGACGTCTCCGCCGATGTCCTCGGCGCTGCCAAGGTTGACGCCTCCCTATAAAGGCGCTGCTAAGCTATGACGGTCATGCTTCCAGCGTTACGCAATCTTTCCAACGTCCATCAGCGAGACGCATTTGTACATATATCCTAATCTGTAGTAACATCTAATCAGAAATACCCCCCCTAACTTCATTCATTGCCTGTGAACCTGCCAAACCGAAAGTGTCTTGTGAGCTCATTGGACTGAAGAAGTCATCTTTGTTTGTCGTTCTGTGCCATTTCCCACCCCTCGAGCTGTCCGCGCCACGCGTCGAATTATGATCATGTTGCCGTCTCTTTAAATCTTCTTGTTTGTATTATCTTAGTGATTATCGTACGCCTGATGTAAAAAGTGGTCTGCATGTACTAAAGTGCATGAAATGAAGCTGAGACCTATCCGAAGTGTTGAATACCTGGCTTGGGTAAGAGAAACTATTACCCAGTCTTAGCTCCATGACAAGTGAGAGGCTCTTGGGTTCCGCTGCCGCTGATTGATAAGCAATGTACCTACAACGCTCCTTCCCTCGAGTCCAACATCCTCTTCTTCCTCAACAACAATAACTCTATTTCAACATAGTCGAAATGGAGTCCCCCAGCAACCCACACAAGCGACAGAAGCTCGGTTTCGAGAGGTAAGTCGTAAACTACATTGAAGAAAGGCACACTGACAATATTGGTTCCAGCTACTCAAATTCCAGGGTCTTATCCGACATCACGATTCGATATGGAGTCTCAGGAGAGCGGACCTTTGAAGCGCACAAAGTAGTGCTAAGCGCAATGTCGTACTGGTTCAAGGCAGCTTTCACTGGACAGTTTGCAGTAGGATTATCTTCCAATAATAGAGATGCATCCCTTACTGACGCACGAAGGAAAGTTCCGCCAGAGAGATCACTCTGAAAGAAGACGATCCCGATGCTCTACTCTTGATGCTCAACTTTGCATACGATCAAAAGATACCAAGTCTGGATGACGTTGACAACGTTGTTCGTACTGCCCGTAGCATCCGAGATTGCTTAGGCTTGTACCGTGTCGCTGACAAGTACGACTTTCCTCAGTTCCTGGATCGGGTCATCTCAGTGTTCAAATGTAGCATTGATTGGTGGTCGATGCAAGTGCGATCAGGCGACCCAGTCCCCATCAATGCCGTTTTACATCAAGAGTTCTGTGGATTCGTCAGAGATGTCTATGATATTGTTGGTTCGGAACATCATCCTAGTCATCCATTGGTAGATGTGTTGCTAGGATTTGCAGACGACCAGCGATCCACATATATGGTCAACCGCATCGGTCGCCAGCCACTCATAGCGTCGGCCTGTCGGGAAGTGGCAGAATTTGGACGGGACATCTTTCTCCATTTGATGGCAAAGACTGGAGTCTTACATCAGGATGGCGGTATCGTGACGGAGGCACTGTGTATCGCGGCTAGCAGAAGATGTCCAGAATGCGAGGAGGTTGTGTTGATGGCCGAGCTGGAAGAAAATGATTGGATGGGTCACTGTCCTCGTTGTGGTAACCACGAACTAGACTGGCGACCAGAAATGCTGTTTTACGAGGAAGATAAATTTGTCAGGGAGGGAGAACAAAGCAAATGATAATACCTAGGTATTCTTGCGTAGCCAGAAGAGTGGTAGCGCAGTCTTGCCTCGGCAGCGGAGATGTCCGGCACTACCGACAGGCCACCCTGAGCTAGGTTTCAACTTTCCAATGTTTCCCCCTCGAATTGCTGTCCATGAACTTGCGATTCCACCAGCCTGCCACTTTAACGACGTTACGACCCATTGACGACCATTTTGTATCTCCCGCTCTCTTTTCTGTCTTTCCGAACTGTTAGAGATACTCCGCGTGGCTCCCATTTAGCTCGGAACCGTCTGCGACCTGCCATACCTAGAACACACGCCCTCGCGCAATCACGCCTCACCGCTCCAGACTGCAGCTGCTCAGCTCACTCGACTTGTTACCGCACTCGCTCTTTACGTCGAAACTACACACCCTCCTTACCTGCCCACCATGCCCGAAACAACCAAGGTCGTGCCCCTCACCTGCCACGGCCACTCGAGACCTGTGCCGCATATTCACTTCTCGTCCCTGGTCGACGAGGACCAGTACTATATTATATCAGCATGCAAGGATAACAACCCCATGCTCCGCGACGGAGTCACGGGTGACTGGATTGGCACCTTCCTGGGCCACAAGGGCGCCGTCTGGCAAGCGAGACTCTCTTCGGATGCCTCACTAGCAGCGACGGCCTCTGCGGATTTCTCTGCGTAAGTGCTTTCGATTACCGCAAGCGAAGCTGGTACTAATGCTCCACAGGAAGGTCTGGGACACGCACACCGGTGAGGCCCTACACACACTCTCGCACAACCACATCGTCCGCGCCGTCGCATTTCCCAATCAGCCCCACCCTCAGATCCTCGCGACAGGAGGCATGGAGAAGAAATTGCGCATCTACGATCTTTCACGTAGCGATGCGACGAGCTTCGAGATTGGCGCAGGTGTTCACACCGGAACCATCAAGTCGATCGTGTGGACATCGGACCCGAACGTCATAATCACAGCCGCCGAAGACAAGAAGGTGCGGTGGTGGGACTTGCGCCAAGAGTCTACAATCGGCGAGCACGCCGTCGAAGGCACTGTTGGCTCTTGCGAGTTGGATAACACCTCCTCGGAGGGCATTCTGAGCGTAGCTGCTGGAAACAGTGCCTACTTCTTCAACAGCCAGTCGCCCGGATCGCTCATCAAAAGCATCAAGACACCATACGAGATTGCCAGTGTGGCCCTGCACAATGGCGAGCGGAAGTTTGTCACTGGTGGTAGCAACCAGAATGATACCTGGGTCAGGGTCTGGGACTTCAATGAGGAGAAAGAGCTCGAGACCAACAAGGGCCATCACGGACCTATCTGGTCGGCAAGCTTCTCGCCTGACGGAAAGCTCTACGCGACAGGCAGTGAGGATGGAACAGTCAAGCTCTGGAAGTTCACATCCGGCCCGTACGGTCTGTGGAAATAGGATTTCGCATGACCGGCGCTGCTCCTTGCCACATATAGGGCCAGATGCAACATCCCAGCACCCCATAATAGCAAATACGAGACAAGTAGCATTTACCACTTTGGACAAGCTGTTACCATCGCGATTCTTAACAATGACATGTACGGAGCAGGTGAGCAGAAGCGCTGCGAGACCATATCGTAATCGCAGCATTGGAGTTGACATTACATTCGCGCGCTATCTCAGGCTACTCCAACCAGGGTAACTGTACCCGCGGAATTATCCGATTCGACATGCCGAAGGATCAACAACACCAATGGCGTGCAGCAACATCATCCGCCTGCATATGCTACGGCCGGCCTAGGTAGCGATATGCAATGCTCAACACAACGATAAGACTGCCTTGGCAAGATAGCCGATAACTGCGTTCACGGCCGTTGCCAAGGGTGGGAGGCCTCAACTGTTGCACTTAAGTACAGATGTCATGACCTCGTTGTCTGTATTGTATTCCCGAACATTACCGTCGCCTGTTAGAAGTCGTTGCCAGGGTCTTCGGTTATCTCGTCTCTACACCTCTCAGGTCAATAGTTGGATCCGGACTTCAAGCACCAACAGCCGGTTCAGCAGCTGTACAGATTTAACATGGGAGAAAAAGAGGAGATCTCGCCAGCGCGAGAGGCTAGCATCGATGAGGGCCAACTCGCTGCTGAGAAGCAGATGCGCGATATCGGTGCAGATCTGTATCTCGAAGTCCAACAATACTCAAGAGAAGAGCTGGAAGCAGAACGCAAAGTCGTCTTGAGAAAGATCGATTGGGTCATCATGCCGATGGTACGTTCTTCTCAACTCATGTCATCAACTACGAGACAGCATAGCTAAGAGATCCAGATCTGCATAACATACATGATCCAATTCCTAGACAAACTCTCCCTAAACTACGCAAACGCCTACACCCTAACCCCCGACCTGGGTCTCCAAGGCGACCGCTACGGCTGGGTCGCCGCCATCTTCAACTTCGGCTACCTCTTCTGGGCGCTCCCAGCAAACTACCTCATCCAACGCCTCCCAGTCTCCAAATACACAGGTCTAATGATCCTCCTCTGGTCCATCCTCCTCTGCTGCCACGTCGCAGCGAAAAACTACTCCGGCATGCTAGCCCTCCGCTTCTTCCTCGGCATGTTCGAAGCCAGTATCAGTCCCGCGATTATGAATATCGTGAGCATGTTCTACCGCCGCGACGAACAGCCCGTTCGCATGTGCGTGTTCCTTGCTTTCAACGGCATGGCGACCATGGTCGGTGCGCTCCTCGGCTACGGCCTCGGTCACGCGCACTCCGCGCACATCAAAACGTGGCAACTCATCTTCCTCGTCATCGGCCTGTTGAACTTTGTCTGGGCGTGGGTGTTCCTCTGGGTTATGCCTGATAGTCCGTCCACCGCCAAGTTCCTGAACCATAAACAGCGGATTGTGGCGATTGATCGCATTGCGAGCAATATGATTGGTGTTAAGACGAAGCAGTTTCAGAAACATCAGGCGCTGGAGGCGGTGCTGGATTTCAAGGTGCTTTGCATTAGTTTGATTGGGCTGTGCTGTGGAGTTATTAATGGGGGTGTGTCGAACTTCTCGTCGAGCCTTATCAGGGGGTTTGGGTTTAGTGGCATTTATGCTACGTTGCTTCAGCTTCCGACTGGTGCTATTGAGTTTGTTGTTGTGCCGCTGTGTGGGCTTGCGGCGGGTTACTTCAGGGATACAAGGTGTCTTATCCTGGCTTTGGTTTGTTTGCCGCCGCTGGCTGGGTTGCTGGGGATTCGACTTACGCCGCTATCGGAACGCTGGAGTCTTGTTGGGTGCACTTGGCTGCAGTACATCATTGGCGCTCCGGTCATCCTGTCCTGGAATCTGCTCACGACGAACATCGCGGGTCACACGAAGCGTAGCACTGCGAACGGGATGTGGTTTGTCTTCTACGCGGCGGGCAATATTGCAGGAGCGAATATCTTCTTCGCGAGGGAGGCGCCACGTTATTTCTCGGCGTTGACGGGGCTTATCGTTTGCTATTGCGCAATGGTGGTGATTGGAGGTGTACTGGCTCTGTGGATGGGTTGGGAGAACAAGAGGAGGGATAGGAAGTATGGTCAGGGAGAAGATGATCAGGCCATTCGGGATGGATTCAGTGACTTGACGGATAAGCAGGCGAAGCATTTTAGGTATGCGCTGTAGAGTTCGTGCACGATTCAATGGATAGATATCCATCGTTACTACGTACTTGTCTTATGAAGACATGTTCATGCTCTGTAGGTCCTTCGCAACGTCATCCCCCGTCACATCATTCTTATTCACATCACTTGCCAAGTATCCAATGCCTTTGCATCCACCTTCATATTCAAATTCCACACCAAGCATCTCCTTTGCTACCCACTGTGCAGTCTTGGCATGCAGACTCGGTTCCATCAGCACATCCTTCCTTTTCCCTCCATACACCTTGCTTCTTCCCTTGGCGAGCGCCTGGAACACTACCAACTGGTCTCGCAGGTACTCATCTACGCAGCCACCATGCTCGATCTCTGTTAACAAATCATCGGACACCTTCTTCACAATGGTAGGAATGACATGTTCGAGCTTCCCAGCACGGAACCCACGATCGTACAGCCAGTCGCGACCAAGCTTCATGCCGGTGGACGTGGTGGCTACTAGAAGGAGGTAGTAGCGTTTGTCGTGGTGTGAATCTTCAAAAGTAGTCTCCACCCTATTATTGTGGTCGACCGTATCGCCGAAGAACCGAGACTGGCGTCTCTCAAACATAACATCGAGTTCCTCGCGAAATTGCCGCTCAGTATCTTTGGGTGCGATGATCGTCGCCGTTACACTGATAATTTCTCCTCTGTCGAGTAATTGAAATGCTGACAGTCTTTCTTTCATAGGCGAAATTGTGTACGTGACGCTGCCAACAGTGGCACTTCCCTGCGACCAGCCCCGCGAATGGATCTGAATGCCGATGTATGGTATTCCAACAAGCTCCAACGTTGGTATAAGGACCTGGACAACGTAATCGATAGATGGAGAGTTGGAAACGTTGGTGCCTCCATCGATACGTATACGTATCGGCGTTTCAACTCCAGAGAAGATGATGTACGGTAGGATGGCTTGCAGCACCAGGTTGACACTTCCGGGGGTGCTCTGTTTGATGCGCACGTCACCAGCAGTCAGTCTGCTGTTTGATATTTCGACGGTCTTGGATGGGATGAAGGTGATTTCCTTGCTCTTGAGTTCTGCACCGTTGATTTTCGCATTGCTTGCTTGGCCAAGCCACTGCACACAGGTCAAATGTTGAGCTTTGAGTCCCCCGCCGCCGGAGCGCTTGCCCCGGATTTTGCTGATCTGAATTGACTTTTTGGTCAGGCTCGAGAGGCCAAGGGCTACCCGTAACAGTTGGCCTCCACCTTCGAGAGTCGTGCCGTCTAGATGGATTGGTGTCGGTGTTTGAGGTGTGGACGCCATGGCTACAAACAATGCTGCCATACGACTGTGCAGCTCGTCAGTGAGTTATGTGCAACATTGGAACATGATCTGAGATGCATCGCTGTTGGGGCTGAGACATCCGTTGGTTCCTGGTGTATGAGTGAAGATGACTCAGGCGGTCGCGCCTTCCGTTCACGCCACGAATGAGCCTCAAGGCCACCCGTATGTAGCAGGTGTATATTGAGTCATATTCGCGCCTTCTTCCTTTGAGAGTTTGAACTATCTCTGTGGAGATCTCGTCGATTTGGTTTGGGGGTGAACAAGGAGACGACCTAGAGCGCGCAAAGCTGCAGCGTCACGCGGCGATGACGTCGCGCAGTCACAAACATTCAGACATTAGACATGCGTACAAACACTGGGCATCTAGACCGTGATAATTGCAAAGACCCTTAAACGCGGGCGTGAAGTTGGTGGTGCCCTGCTTCAGGGACTCTCGGAGATCGAGCCGCGGCACGCAGGCGATCGACGCGGCGGTCCTGTCGTCATCAGCGAGGCGCCGAACTTTTGATTGACATGTCCGAAGTCGTCCACGCCCACGTCCGCACGTCCATGGCCATGTCGAATGCCTCAATAACGCCCCAATTCCATCTTCACGTCCGGTAGCTGCCTCGTCTACCCTCCGCCAGCCATGCGCGCCCCGCTGGCTTTCTCCGCAAAGGCCTGGCACGGCCCAGGCAACGGAGCCCTCTTTTCAAATATACAGTCGCGCATCTCGACGACAACACCCGCCATTGCGAGATCCTTCGCTACGACACCGATACCGAAAGCTTCAATATCCAAGGCGTCACCGAACAGCTGCGCGCCGTCCCTCTTCGCACCGTCATCCATACTCCGACTCGCAGCCGCGGGCACCACACGCAACAATGGCCTACACACACCAGCTCGCATGTTCACCACATCGCGACTACTAGCGGAAGCCTCAAGCAATGCCAAGCCTGCGAGGCAGCGCATATCATACAAAGAGGAAATCAAGCAAAAGGGCATCGTGGACCTGGAAGAGCACGATGGCGAGCCCGAGAACGAGGAACAAGGCTTTGCAAAGTCCGAAAAGGCGGCGCAGGCGAAGCAGGTCAATTTGAGCGCCAAACTCAGCAAAGATGGGTCTGGCGCTGCAGGTGCACCAGGCGGCATGAAGGAGATCTGGAGACTGATCAAAATTGCCCGACCTGAGCTGGGCGTGCTCTCCTGGGCTTTCCTGTTCTTGCTCCTTGGTTCTGGCATTTCTCTCTCGGTACCCTTCTCAATTGGTAAAATCTTGGACGCCGCTACTTCGACTGAGAACACCAATGGTCTCCTCTTTGGTGTTTCTCCATCTATCTTCTACTTTGGGCTGGCAGGTGTCTTGACGACCGGTGCTGCGTTCAACTTTGGACGTATCATCATCCTTCGAATCGTCGGAGAGCGCATCGTCGCACGCCTTCGATCGCAGCTCTACCGCAAGACCTTCGTCCAAAACGCCGAATTCTTCGACGCCAACAGGGTTGGAGATCTCATCTCCCGTCTCGGTTCGGATACCATCATCGTTGGAAAGAGCATCACACAAAACTTGTCCGACGGTCTACGTGCGCTCGTTAGCGGTGCTGCTGGTTTCGCCATGATGGGTTTCGTCAGTCTGAAGCTTACCGGTATTCTCGCCCTGATCGCCCCGCCGGTCGCCCTCGTCGCCTTCTTCTCCGGTCGGTCGCTACGAAACCTTAGTCGTAAAATCCAGAAGAACTTGGGAACATTGACCAAGATCGCCGAAGAGCGGTTAGGGAACGTCAGAACAAGTCAAGCTTTCGCTGGAGAGGTTCAAGAAGCATCACGATACAACCGGCAGATCAAGAGGATATTCGCTTTGGGAAAGAAGGAAGCCGTCGTTGCTGCGAGCTTTTACGGAAGTACTGGACTAATGGGCAACCTGACCATCATCTCCATCCTGTATGTCGGTAGTAACATGGTCAAGAACGGCGTCATCTCTATCGGTGAGCTGTCCTCGTTCTTGATGTACACCGTCTATGCTGGTTCTAGTATGGTTGGTCTTTCTGGCTTCTACGGGGAGATGATGAAGGGTGTTGGGGCTGCCAGTCGTCTCTTTGAACTCCAGGATCGCAACCCAACAATATCGCCCACCAAGGGTCTACCAGTCAAGTCGGCCCGGGGCCCCATCGAATTCAAGAATGTCAACTTCAGCTACCCGACAAGACCAGCGGTAACCATCTTCAAGGACCTCAGCTTCAGGATTGAGCAGGGTACCAATGTGGCCATCGTTGCACCCAGTGGAGCTGGAAAGTCTACGGTCGCCAGTCTCCTTCTACGTTTCTACGTCCCCAACTCCGGAACCGTAACCATCGACGGCCGAGACATCACCACCTTGAACGCAAAGCAACTGAGGAGGAAGATCGGTTACGTCGGTCAAGAGCCCGTACTCTTCTCTGGCACAATCGCGGAGAATATTGCATATGGCGTACCCAATGCTACACGCGCTGAGATCGTTGCTGCTGCCCGCAAGGCCAACTGCCAGTTCATTAGCGATTTCGTATGTACAACCCCTTTGATATGAGAGCCTCACTAACAAGTACAGCCTGATGGCCTTGAGACACACGCTGGCGCCAGAGGTACTCAACTCTCCGGAGGCCAGAAGCAACGTATTGCCATCGCACGAGCACTCATCAAGAAGCCCGACATCCTTATCCTCGACGAAGCCACGAGTGCTCTGGACGCCGAGTCTGAAACTCTTGTGAACCAAGCGCTTAACAAGCTTCTCCAGGAAAACAACACAACTATTAGCATCGCCCATCGTCTATCAACGATCAAACGGTCCGACCGTATTATCTGCATCGACTCCGAAGGTAGGGTAGCCGAGGAAGGCACCTACGAACAGCTCAGCTCGAACCCAGAGGGCGCATTCAACAAACTCATGGAATGGCAGATGAGCGGTGGTGACGTGCCTGCTAAGGACGTCAAGGCCCCAAAGCCTACGGAAGAAGAGGAGATCGAGCGAGAGCTTGATGAGGAGAAGGAAGAAGCTGCTGGCCGCAACCGTGTCTAGTGAAGCTGCATCTTTATTTGTATCATATTCAATGGCAGTCGTGGCGATTTTGCGCGACTCTCCTGCTTCTTCATGGAAGCAACGGTGGGCAAGCCCGCCACCAACAATGAACCTCCACACAGCACCAGGGTTGCTGCACGCTTGGGCCGAAACACGCATTCCAAAAGCAGAATGCGCTCCGCAGGGAGACCAGAGAGTGATCGCCCTCCGCATGGCGCTATTTGAGTGGTACTATTTGATCAAACATGAGAACTTCTACTATCAAGCTCCTGTATTGCCATAGCCTAAGATGTAGTATCACGCTCTGACTACCCAAGCATGTGAGGCTTGCAGCTATAATCAAATCATCATTCCCCTCTCAACATCACTCTGTACTCTGCAGGACATGTCGGGACGCTCCGCTAGCTCCATTAGCACCCTGATCGCACCCTGCATCGCCATGTCATCACATAATCAGGTACGACACCACTCATAGCACGCACCACAACCCGATACATGAGAGGCTACCAATCAAGGCTCTACTAAACACACTAGCGTACCGAACAGGCAATCTCCCCGTACATCGTGAGGTAACGCGATGGTGACGTCATGCATACCACGCAGTCTAGACCCTCCACACCTAACGCGCGCTGACGCGATGTATACCGTGATGTCAAAAGCAACGTGCCATATAATCCCCATCTCACTCGACCCCCAAACCCATCCATCTCAATCAATTCCACCCTAATGCTCAATACCACATCCCGTCTCCTCCGCCTTTCCACATCCACACTCTCAAAGCGAAGTCCAGTCCCCATCACCAAAGCCTTCAGCACAACCACCCCCCGCCTCTACGCCGCCAAAATGGACGCCCTGAAGAAAGTCGGCAACCGCGAGAACGCGCCCCCCAAACACGAAATGGTGCACTTCCCCGGCCTCATGTCCGAAAAACGCAGTTTCGGCGACTTCCGCACCGTCCTGCACACAGGCCTCTACTCCCAGATCGTCGCCATGGAAGTCCCCGTCAACGGCGAAATCGGCGACGAAGTCCATCTTGTCGACCAGATCCTGCTCTTCACATCAGGAAAGGGGCTGGCGACGGTGAATGGCAAGGACCAGGAGGTTAAGGCTGGTGATGTTGTTGTTGTGCCGGCGGGGACGCAACATCAGTTTGTTACCAAGGGGGATCAGCCCTTGGAGTTGATTACGGTGTATGCGCCTGCGGAGCATTTGCCGAGTAGTGTGCATAAGACTAAGGAAGAGGGAGATAAGGCGGAGGAGGATGAGGTTGATGAGGCGCCTGAGTGGGCGTTGAAGCCGAAGAGTGAGAATGAGAAGGAGGGGTTGGTTAAGGAGAGTGGGAAGTATTAGATGGGAAGGCTGTATAGTGTCAATGATAAGTATATTTTATAAGGCTGAAAGTTTTTGTGTTGTTTGTTGGTGTAAGAGATCGTGAGCTGGGGTACGTCAATGACTGGATATCGCGTAGGAGGTTAGACCTCAACCCATTCCGTAAGCTCTTCCTTGCGAACCTTGTGTCGCAGGAGCCTCTTCTCTTTCCCCTCTCCGTCAAAGACGGCGGGTACGATTTGTATGTCAAACTCGCTGCCAAACTTCATCTTAACATCCCATGCCTTCCCTCGTTTGAGCTCCCCAATATCGTCAGCAATCTTGAGAGCTTTGTACTGAACACCGTCTCCCAAAGTATCGCCACAGTCCTGGCTTGATTGCGGGATCTTGATGTGACCAGCTACATCATCCCAGGGGTTAAAGTTACACAGCAACCACAGCGCGCCTGCTCTTCCATTCTCCTCGATGGCTACGACGAGGACGAAGTCAGAGTCATACCAGGGTATCGGCCTTTCCTTTCTTTCAGCACTTTGTTTGTTACTTTCCATGTAGCAATCCTTGAGACGGAACACCCGGCCCAGCTGCATAAACACAAAGCCCGTGGCGTCGTTGCCTCTGGACTCGTTCTTGACACTAGATTGATCTGGTTCAATATCCTTCGGCTGGTTTCCTGCGGTCGCGGTATCGGCCCCTGTCTTCCATATGTTGATACCAAGTATGTTGTAGAATTCCGGCCACTCGCGTTGATCGTCCCAGTCCACGTCTTCGTCCTCGTACTTCAGTTGGTTAAAGCCGTCGGGTACCAGGCAGAAGTGGTAGTCGCAATGCATTCCCAGTTCGAGTGCGCCATTATCGATCCGGTGTAGTGTGTGATAGACCTTTTCGCGCGATTCTTCATCAAGAAAATCGATCTCTTGGATCGCTTTGATGAGTTCGGCGGCGGTTGGACGTGGTTGGTTTTGGCGAACCCGCTCGCAATCGGGGTCGGTTAGAGATGACATGGTATTTTTACGTTTGTTTGTTTAAATTTGAGTGAGAAATGAAGAGGGAGAGAGGTCAAGTTCAATTTTGCTGTGTGAAAAGGGAACTTTGTTGCGTGTAAAAGCTCTTCAGCTGAACCATGGTACCATCAGTGAGTCACATCGTCTATGATCCAGACTTTGTACCCTTTGCAGATTGGAAAAGACACGGGTTTCGTCCCTTTCAAGGAGTGATACTCGATGTGTTTGTACCGCGATTCTATGCTCGTGAAGATGGACTTGGCTTGTTCAGCTAGTGTATGTTTCGCGTAGTGATACTTATGTAGTAGCCTCATCCTGAAGATTAGGCCCACGACTTTCCATAACATCTAAACATGATACGAATGCTACTGCATCGAACTTGAATGCAATAATTAGTTGACCACGGTGGACAACAACAGTTTAAGGAGAGTGGGAAGTATTACCTGGGTAGATGGGAAGTTTAGCAGACTCGCAAACTATTAGTGATGTATAGCTCCATCGTATGCTCCTTGGTAGATCGCGATAATGCATACTTGGATTAATTGTTGACTGTTAATCAGGGTCGTGCTACAAACTTCCTCATATTGGTTCACGGCGGTCTTGGTTGAATGCCTCACTATCGTGGTTTTGTTTAATACTTCATCAAGGTACGATGATCGTTCTCCGCAGCGATTCAATTCATTCGTCTAGACAATGCTGTCCAAGCATATAGTTCAGCTCGTATCTTAGAGGTCGAAGTAGTGTTTCGTGTCCACACGATGATGTAGGCCGTGCTGTATACCTTTTGGACAGCAACCCCAAAGCCAACTCAGACGACATTGTAATTCTCTTGAAGCCCAGAAGATCTTCACACGTATGGTTCCTCAATTAACGCCATGCCTCACTGCCCAAACGGGGGTCGGAGAGCGACTGCTACCGAAGCTGTCACTGTTCGTTATGACGAGGCATCGTAGGATACCCGTGTTCATAGTTTGCTACCATATTTGCGCGTAATCTGTGATTCATCCGAAAACAAGTCATTCTGCTGTACACACAGTCAGTGTCGCAAATGCATGACAGTCACGTTGCGCTTTGGGGTGCTTGTGAGAGCAGTTGCGCGGTCCTCGTGAGCTTGTATAGTGCAATGTAGCAATCACGTCGGTCAGGTTATTAACCACCCTTTTTGACGTGGAATCCTCACTCACGCACCATCGACTCCAAGGTTAACTCAAGACAATCCAGATTTCTCCCTGATACCTCTACCGATCACGATGTCTGCACCCTCCAAGACCTTTCCGCTGAATGATCTCCCTACCATGGCCTTCGACGGCTCGGGCAAAACCGACGCAGTCCGGGAGAGATATTGCTCAATGCTCAGAGAAATTGCGGCGGTGGCCGGCCAAATAGAGTTCACGATTGGTGAGCACTATCACCATTACTCACCCAGCGTCCGTACTCTCGTTGATGAGTTCCTGAGCTCAGCATGGGGGCAAATCATCCACGTATGCGAAAGACCGTTCGCTGTAATAGAGTCAGGGCTTGAGGCAAACCACCAAGCAGTGCTCAACCAGCAGTTTCGGCATGCCGGCGGAGCAAGTTCCCAGGTTTTCGCAGGCCTCATCAATCGCCCACCTACCAAGGACGGGAAGAAGGCCAAAGCCAACGCTACTGTTAGGGAGATAATCGTCTTAGTAAGGTAATGCATTGAACGAGCGAAGCTGGCATGCCGTACTTTGTTCTGGACGTTGACAATTCCTGGATCGGGCTGGGATCCACTCACGCGCCAGCTGGAGGAATCTCTGAACGCATTCAACACTATACCTACAGCCCCGAGCCGAGGAATACTCATCGAGATAGCCCTTCGGAGGAGCATGGGAAAGAACGTGCTGAACGCAAACAACAAAGTCGTGAAGAGGATACCAAACCAAGTCGCAAAGCAAAACATCGAAGCCTGGAAAACCTCAAATCGTGTTTCACAAGATCTCCGCCTCGTGTTCCACACAAAGCAGAACGGAGCACTATTTGACGGACTGAAGCACACCACCACCGAGCAAGCAGACGGCACCATCAGTATAACGTACGATGGAAACTTCATCAATTATCATTATGCCGGCACACCCACGATGCACTTCATCTGCGCCCACAACTGGTACGCCCCTGAGAATCTTGCCAACGCTGATACGATGCGAGATTGGATAGTCGGCTCAACGCGGCCCAAATGTCGTTTGTTCGCCCATGCCAACGAGATTTACACAATGTTAAGGGAGGAACATCTGGGAACCGACCATATGAACGCCGTGGGAAGCGCCCGTCGACGACTCGAACCTATTGAGACCGCAGTAGTCACAAGATTCGAGGCAGACCACCGACGGGTGCACCAAAAAGAGGATTTTCCACTGATTCGTCCAGTTGTGATAACGGAATTCCACGGCAACCCCTCCAATATGAGCCTGGTCGGACGCACTAAAGACTACGGCATCAGTATCTCTAGGAGTCTGAAGCCGACATTGTGTTGTTTTGCATGCCGATGTATTTATGGCTATAGATCCTTGTTCACCCCAATCGATCAGGAGACACAGAAGCGGGAGTTCATCAGCTTTGACTGGAAGGACCGCATCATCGAGCATTGTTGTGCGGAAAGCGCAGCGTCGATGCAGTGTGCTCTTTACAACACTGCACGTAACGGAATGGCGCATCAGTAGCTTGGCGATGTTCTTTCGGCAAAGCTACCTACAAAGACACCTCGCGCCTGTCTCTTGCTCCCTTTCACGGTCCCTCTCGCCCCTGCACTCGGGCGTGGCGAATACTTCCTGCGTTTCCATGGCGTACAACTGATCTCTATCGTTTGTGTTTGTTTTTCTGGAGTCTTCTCTTTTTCGGGCAATGTAAACACTTGAGGTACCGAGAGTGTTTCTTTGCATCGCCTTTCCTAGCACTGGTTGTCGTCATACGAATATTTCGATCGTCGTTTGTGCTTGGGCGGGATTACTTAGGTTCTCTTCTCTCCTTGGCATGTCTCTCCTCACACTCTTTACATTGGAATTGCTTGCGAGTAGTTGGATAGTAGGATACTTATACTACCATCTACAAATGACCGATTCCATCCATGCGACGACGTGACTTTGCTCTGTGTTTGTTGATCGTTTGAGACATGCCCAGGTGGACATGACCCCGGGGAAATCAGCTTGTGTTCTTTCAAGAGATGTCGATGTATGAGGCTGATTCTAGGGCTTCGACAAGATGTCCCTGGCTAAAAACACGATTCAAAACTGAGTATCAGAGTATCAAGTAGCTTGAAGGTGGATTACAGATGTTGAGCAGCAGCAGTACTGGTAGCGACTCACATGTATATTGCGCAATCTCGGAGATACCCTTATGGTAGGACTGTGCACGTAATGCGCAGTCGATCAACAACCCAAGCAATCGATTGAATGACCTATTGGTCACGATAGCTACATGTGTGCGATGCCATATCCTGGTTGCCATCCAATTCGCCCAGTGCCCAGGTGGCACTGCGATGACGCAAAGCGCAACGAGCCACCCCGACCTCGGGACTTGTGTAACGCAAACTAACTAGACAGCAGAGCTCTCCCACAAATAAGAGAAGTTCCAAGTACGATAGACATTAATATTGTGGGATGCGCAGGCTGAAGAGAGATCGCGTGAGCTAAGAAGCGAGGCACTGGGTCAAGGAGATTTTGTTCTACATTCTGTGTGTAAGACGGCCTGATATGATATCGCTAGGCGCCGTCACATACATCTACGGCGGTTTACATTTTAAGGAAATCTAATAACGGCGGCGATGGATACAAAAGAGTGACTGTCCTGAACGCGAGAGAAGATACAGATCCGTTCTAGGGCACATAGTAAAGATGACTAGAAAACGCTACGCGATCCTGTCCGCACACTCGTTGCCATCGCGTTCGGAGAACGGCCCGATACTTAAGATTCCGGCTTCTCTAACCACTGCGGATGACGTCAGGGACCTTCTGCCGAAAGATATTGCCTCTGGTGGAAAGCGTGGAGAAAACCGCGGCGACGATCTGGGCCTCGGATTCCGTCCCGAACTGCGTTGTCATACACCACGGCTTCTTGTCCTCGAGATCGCTCATTTTATCTCCAAGCTTCACAGCCAAACGCTGAGTTTTGTCTCCTAGAAGAGTTCCCCAGAATCTTCCTGTTCGCGGGATACGGACCCTGTCGCCTTCGATCTCAGATTCAGGCTTGAAATTGAAGATCAGCCATGGCGCGCCAGGCGTTCCGTCCCGTTCGATAGCCACGACGAGGACAAAACCGGAATCGCTCCAGGGCATCTGTACAGGGTTGTGGGACGATTTCTCGTAGCTCTTTCTCGAATCGTGTGAGAGGTAATCAACCCTGCCCAGCTGCATGAACGTGAAACCGGTATCATCATTGCCAGTGGATGAATTGCTGGAAGCGGATTCGTCTGAATCGTTATTCTTGCGCCGGTTGTTACTCTGAGGGCTTGTCTTGGTCAGGTTGATACCGAGTATAGATCCAGGTAGGATGTCGCGCGGGTCCATCTGGTCGATGTCGTAATCTTCGGGGACTAGTTGTAAGAGATCCATCCTTAGACAGTAGTGATAGTCGAGATACATTCCCAGGCCGACGTATGAGCGTAGGTCGGTACTCAACATGTCACAAAGAGTCGTACGGGAGTCCTCGGAGAGAAAGTTTGTCTTTTCAATGGTCTTGACGAGGTCGGCGGCGCTTGCGGGTTCAGGGAGTTGTCGAATGAGATTGCACTGCTTGTGGCTCCAGTCTCGAAATTTCCGTAGACTGTCCGGGTTTGGGAGCAACTCGCGCATGAGAAGCTGGCGATTCTCCTCGACATCTGGATTGTCCGTACGGAAAGAGCCGTCGCTGTTGCGGTAGCCGCTTGTCGAATGTGCTATCAGTTGTGCTGAAATCCTCTCGCAGTCGGCGTCGGTGAGAAGTGACATGGTTAGATAGATCCCGGGAGTGAAGTTGAGTTGAGAAAGGTAGTCCAGGGTATCGTGGATGCGACTTGGGTATGCTTAGTCTGCCAGTTGCTCGCACAAATGCTCGCGGCGACGGGTGCTTCTGATGTTGCTAGTCTCTAGCAACCGCTTGGTAGCTACCTAGCTAGACAAAATCACCAAGCGAGTGAGTGTAAGCCAACACGCAAACGACTTGGCCCAATCGTTCGGTAGCTAAATGCAATCAGCACACGCATAGCGCAAGCAGCAATCCCCGACCACGGTCTCTTCGGGGCCACAACCAGTTGTACAGAAGACCCTGTCAAGTGCGCTGCGCAAAGCAATCTTTTTTTTTGAGTCGTGCTCAACGCTGAATGAACCCTAGAAGAAGGTACCAAGCCTGAGCTCGATTCCTATTGGCGTGAGGCATTGGAAATGCGATCATGCATTCATTGCAGTCATTCTTCGTTACCGTGGGTGGAAATAGAGACAACCACTTTAGATGAACAGCCTAGCAAACCATCATTACTAGATATTGATTTTCTAAATGTACACAACTAAGGTTCATTTGCGAGAAGACCCCTTGGGCTTGAGCGCGAAAGACAGAGAAGTGGAAATGCGGAAGTTCGGAAAGTGGGGGAGAAGTTCGGACAGGCTGCTGGACAAGCAGCGCGATTGTGAGTCCCATTTATCGGTATCGAAGAGATACCTGCTACTCCGTTTGAATTGATCATGAACTAACCGTGATATTCCATCGCGACTTTGCTTTCCCGGGGGTGTATGGGTTTTCGTCATAATGCAGCTGAGTTAGTCACATATTACTACAAGCGGTAAGAAGGATTTCCGGTGATCTCACAAACCTCCACATAAGAGTAACGACTGGAACAGTACTCCAACTCAGGGTCGTGGCAGTTGCATCACAGATCTGCAATTGAGACTCGAGGCGTGTGGGGCCGCTAAGAGAGCGTTTTCAACGTTCTTCCACCATGGCGGAACACGATAGTGACGCGGACCCTGCGCGCGTTCGCGGTGGTGGGTGATGGTCTGTCAGCCTTGCCGTAGCGTAGAATGACATGTTTAGAGGCAGTCTAGATTAGAATACGGGTGTAAGTATCAGGCATATCCTGACATTGGGCGAACGCAAGTCTTGGTGCGGTAGGTTTTCGTGTGGCGTTGCAACGACGTAATAGCGCTGCAATGCCCCGATCGCGACGTTTTCGCGAAGGTACTGGATGCGCTCAAGATGAGGGGAAACATGGCAGGATTAGTGTCTTCAGAGAGGAACAGCGGCCGGAGTCACGATAGGGTAGCTCGCGGGGTCGGGCTCTGAGCCGAAGTTTGGTTATCAGATGCGATAACCGCCGAGAGACCGAGGACCGGGCGGCGTGACAATGGCATGTTACAGAATTTGCGCGACTATGTGCCGAGAAGGCCTGCGCTTCAGCTCATAGTAATTGCGGTGAAGGCTGGTGGTGTAATATAACGCGTTCGGTGAGCACCATGATCAGGAGATGGGGCTGATGCCGTGGGCGCAGCCAAGATAGTCGCAAGATGGTTTGATCTAGGTCTATGTCGGATAAAGTAGGACATGACAAGTGGGAATACGAGCGGTTTCGGCGATGGGGCGCTGACAAGCGTCATTCGGCAGAAGTGGGCGTTCGGGATGCTCATCTCAGCCTTGAAGGCGTCGTTGATCGGCAGTGGGAAAAGCGTCCGGGCGCGGCCTCTGTCGAACATTTGTCCATCACCACCAAGCCTCACCTCATGCCCACACCCTCTGCCACGGCTAGAATCCGCCCAATACGAATTATTCCACAGTCACTGTCCATCGTGTCACCGATCTCGGGAATCCGCACGCGGCTGCCACTCGGTCGTGTTCGTTTGCCAGCCAGTCGAGGTGAGTGATGCCACGATCTGATAAGAAATTCGGTTGCATCGAAGCATCAGATAACCACCACCATCCCCCACATGCTCTGCGGTCGCACATCTCCGTCGTCCGCGGTTCAACAAGCAAGTGCGCCATGCACACCCGCACCGCGCCTTGCTGTTGCATTGAATTCCCCATGGCCATACCAAGTCAGCTCTTGCTAATCATGGTCCGCGCTAGCAGTCCCCTTTGTCGCGTCCCCGGCAGCACGCCCATCGCTCCTTCACCTCACTCCACGCAGGCACATGGCAACCTCGACAGCGACCATGCCCAGCCCCATCCCTACCACGGCGACTTCGCACCCTGACGACCCAATTCCTGCCGAGCCAAAGGATATTCCACAGCTCTCGCTCCGGCCCTCGCCGGCACAGCAGTCGCAGCCGGAGCAGACCTCACCGAAGTCGTCGGGCGAATCCACACTATGGACTACAAGCAGCGATGAGTCTGAGGCGCCCATGACGCCCATGACGGAGCCCGATCAGGGTGTTGAGGAAGTAGTCGATAAACTACAGGAACTGCCTACCTCGGCTGTCAATTTCTCTGGGCAGACGCGTCCTCGCCGCGCATCCACCACGCTCATTTCGGACAACCCAAATGACATCAGACGGATACTGGGCGAGGGTGAGACGGCCACCAAGCTCATCAGCCAGTGCTGCGGTGGAGGATGCTGTCTGCTCAAGACACTGGCCCCGGACGCATCGTCGCCCAACTTCATACCCGTCGTCGTCCCCGACAACCATGCCTTCCGGAGCCTCAACCTGCAGCTAGGCCCGCTCGGCCTCGACAGCGAGCTCACCGACACAATTCCGCTCCCTCCCGCCAACATGTCCTTCGAGCCTCTGCCGTCCAAGGACACCAAGTACGTCTCGCAGGTGCACAAGACGCCGCCCAAGTACGTTCAGCCACACCCGCCCTACGAGGTCTACTCGGCGCCGCTCTACCACGCACGCGAGTTGACCAAGCCGGGCGCCGAGAAGAGAACCATCCACTTCGACATCGACGTTACCGACTACCCCGACGAGGGAGGCGTCGACTTCAAGGTCGGTGGTGCCGTTGGCATCTGCCCTCCCAACTCGCAGGAAATGGTCGATGAGCTGTTCGATCTCCTCTGCATCCCCAAGTTTGTCCGCGACAAGCCAGTCACACTCAGGACGCAGACTGGAAGATGGCCGACCATCTGGGGTGAAGACCAAGCGCGCGAGCTTGTCACAACCAGACGCGAACTGCTGACCTGGTGTGCCGACATTCAGTCGCACCCGCCCACCAAGAACCTCCTTCGCGTGCTCGCCGAGTATGCCGAAGCCCCCAATGAGAAGAAGATTCTGACATACCTCTGCTCAGCCCAAGGACAAGCAGCCTTCTGCGACCTCCGTACTACTTCTCACTTCACAGTCTCACAGATGCTCAGCGCATTCCCTTCTTCGAAGCCCCCGCTACCGCACCTCCTCTCCGTCCTCACTCAGCTGATGCCTCGATTTTACTCCCTCTCGAACGACCCCCACATCTCGTCGGCGCGTCCCGGCCTTCCCGGTACCCGTCGCCTCATCGAGATGGCCGTCACAATTCACGAGACACCCGATTGGCATGCTGAGGGTGCTACACGTACAGGTGTAGGCAGTGGCTTCATGGAGCGCATGGCACACGCCTTCATCACAGCCGAGAATGAAGGTGTCGATCCCCGCAGCATCCTCGACCTGCGCATCCCCATGTTCCGCGGACTCATGGCGAACCCTCTGTCAAAGCAATTTGGTGGTGAAGGCCCCATGGTGCTCATCGGAGCGGGAGTTGGCATGGCGCCTTTCCGTGGTTTCATCCTGAACCGCCTCAAGAACGCCAACTGCGCCAACAAGATCTGGCTCATCCAGGGTGTCCGAGACTCCATGCTCGATGAGCTCTACTCCGGTGAACTAGGCGACCATGAACGCGAAATCAAAAAGGTCGTCCAGAGCCGGAAGGTCAAGGTGGGAGGCTCCAACGAGGTCAAATACGTCCAAGACGAGGTGCGAGTACAGGCTGATATCGTCTGGTTCGTCATCAATGCTCTTGATGGACGTATCTTTGTCTGTGGCTCTAGTAAGGGCATGGGCGAAGGTGTCGAAGAGTCTCTTATCGATGTCGCGATGCAAAAGGGCCGCCTGAGTGAAGCGCAAGCGAAGGAGTTCTGGGCCCGAAAGAAGGAGGACGGACAATACATTGCCGTAAGTACACTTTCCAATCATGCCTACCCTACACATTCTAACGAACACGCAGGAAACCTGGTGAATATGTCCTCTCTGGACATCTGTACATACAGTTACGGCTTCCGTTATAACCGCGTCTCCATCCTTATCGCTACCACATTTCCACGGCGTTCGAACAAAAGGTGTCCTTAATAAATCATATAGGCAGAACAAACATTGGTACGCACTTTCAGTCGAAGTTGGCTGTTCATGGCCTCTTCGTTTTCTGGGTTGGGATATTCGTCATCACATTAGAAGGACATGCGCGCAAGAGCATGGCGTTTGTCAAAGGCTGGGAACAGGCAATTTGTTTGCGTTATTACTATTGTCAAATCTATATCATCATATCACATATTGTTGATAGTGGGAAGAGAACGTAATGAAAGATGTTATTACAAGTTGTGGTCTTCTGGTGTCGAAAGGTTGGTGCTTGAGTGAAAGCTGATATCTTCCCAGTGCATTTGACAGTATTACTAGGGGTAGCTACCGTTTATGTCGCATTATATGAAGGAATTTCTCGAGGTGGAAATGTACGTTACTTCGTGAACTATCTACTTGTCAGAATTTAATACAACGTACGCCCCACGAGTTCTGGCCACCTCTAGTAGCATACCCTCTTACGAACGTGCACTGTGCGCCAAATCACTCTTTGTCGTGAATCTAATGAATTGATAGAGCCTATCTACAATGTAATAGTCTGGGTTGCGCATCACATTTTGATCGTAAGCCTTGGTTTCAATGTGTCTGAACCATGGTTCTCAACGTTCGCTACTCTACAGCGTTTTAGCATTGGGGTGTAACGAGTTCACTCACTTATATCGCATCTACCAAAACAGCATCGTTCCTATCTCCTTCCACTCTCCATAACGACTAGGAACCCTCATTCGATACGCGTTCTCAACCAACATTCTCCTCCAGCATGGCAAGCCAACTCCTTGAGCTCCCAGACGAGGTCCTTCTCCAGATTCTGCACTACCTTCCCAAAAGTGTCAAGCATCCCAATCCCCAAGCCGACATACTGAATGCGCTCTCGACATGCAAGCAACTGGCACCACTTGCCCGAGAGGTTCTCTTCTGCGCACCAATACTGTATTCAAGTAAGGTCGACCACTTCCTCGCTTCACTCTTCCAGTACCCAGACCTGGGACACAAAATCCGCAGCCTGACCATTGAAACGAAAATCCGTGGAATGTGCATAGGACCGAACCCTATTCCAGCACTCGAGCCTTCGCTATTAGCTAAAGCCATCAGCCATATCAGCACATTAGCCATCGATCCTCTAACGAAACAACACTTTACCGAATCCCTGCATGCCGGAAACGAATTCGACGGACCAAGCATCCTCCTCAGCCTCGTGCTGACCATGCTACCCAATCTACAGGAACTGTATCTCGGCGGCTCAATACTGTACAACTTCCCTTTTCTCCAACCCCTGCTCTATCATAGCAGTCTCTTCCCGGCCCACACCCCTGATCTAGGGCCTCTCCTCCCTCTCTTCAGCCACAAACTCACCGTACTTGAATCACCCAACGACTTCCGCACCTCGCCTTCCAGTCGGTACGATTATCGAGGCTCTGTGCATGGTATCCCGAAGTACTTCCCCGCGTTGCGCACGCTTGTGCTGCCAAGTGATAACGTGGTATATGCCTACTACAAAGAAGTCGTGCCGTCAAAACTCGAACGGCTTATCTTGACCGACTGTCTCGGTAGAGAGGCAGAAAGGTGGGTGAAGCACGTAGCCAGGGCAAAGACAACGCTATTTCCCAACCTGGCAAAAGTGAGCTTGTATCACTGCTACCCTGGAAATGCCGCTAAAATGGCGTCGCGGGAGTTTATGAAGAATATGGGCATACTGTGTAAGTTTTCCTCCCCGTGAAGATTTCGTCGTCGACGTTTTGTTCTAACAGTGTCCGGTAGTCTACCAGTATATTCCCGACTTTTATGACTGGACTACTCATGAGTATTTCCATCCTTGGCTGTATGGTGGTGACGAGCTTGATCTTTCGGCGGCGACCATGGATGAGAAAGAGCGTAGGTGGGATAAGGCTGAAAGGGATATGAAGAAGCGAGAGGCTAGGAAAGTTGCATGGGGCGGAGTTACAGCTGGGCGGAACCACACGAAATCGTAGGAAGGATATGCGATTAGAACTTTATCATCAGTAGAGCCAACGTCTCGTTAACGTAATGCTTCGTTAGTACACCCGCTATGAGTAGACTGTCCCAATTCTATCCGACACCAGGCCAACCTGTGCACAGTCAGTTTCCAAATCCTTTTGTCGAATCTCTCATCCAAAGACTTACTCCAAACAGTCGGCCCATCATTAACCTTGGCAACATTAACCCGATCCCCCACCCTCCACACCTCTTCCCTGCCCTTCCCCCAAAACCCATACCGTCCAAACACCGGACTCCACTTCGCCCCAACATCAATCCTGCGATCCTTCTGCAGCCTTTTCAGCACCTCTCCACTCGGCCCCTCCCCCGGTTTCCCCGTCTTGTAGTCAATATTAATACTCTTGCACCTCACACAGTTATGCGGAAGCAAGATCTCCGTACTCCCTTTCACCGTGACTTTACCCCAGTAATCTTCTTCGTACGGTTCATACGCGCCCTCCACCACGATATTAGGACGGAACTTTTCGATGTCCATGGCCATACCTTCTGGTAGTCGGGAGGAAACATCATCGAGACTCGTTTGCGAGCAGAAGAGATATGGGGCGCAGTCTGCGAAAGTGATCTTCCAGGATTCGGCTGCTGAGGGCTTGTGCAGGCCCATCGCTTTCTCGACGTACGAAGTAGTAAACGGGACGTATTTGGAGAGAAAACGGGTTAGTGGCGAGGGTTCCGCGGGTTGCATGTCTTGGAATTGGACGGTGCGTCGGTTGGTGCCTAAGTAGACGAAGATGACTGGGTAGCCGAAACAGGATGTGAACCAGTCGTTGTACTTTTGGGGCATTAGGAAGGCGGAGGTGGGGCTGGAGTGCATTTCGATATTGATGGGGGATAGCTTATCTGCGTCGGGTTCTAGTGGGATTTGAATTGATGTTGCTTTTGATGAGTCGCCGTATGCGATGTATCGGATGGTGATGGTGTCACTGGACATTTCTTGGAGGAATTGCGTCATTTCGGGGTATTTGGCTACGGCCATGTTTTTGTAGCCTTCTTCGGTTCTTTGGAGGAGCATGAAGGAGCCTGGGTTATTTTAACATTGTGCCAGTGTACAAAGGATGTGCGAAGCATACGGTCGTGCTTGAAACCATGAGTGGTGGCAACGGCTTCGGTGACCTTGACAGCTCGCAGCGACTTGATGGGGTAGATGTATATCTAACCGTGCTGTCATCAGCACACGATCTCAACCATCTCATAATCATACAACATACCGCTGAGATCTTCATAGCCGTCAACCGCTGCATCAACGGGCTAAGAAGGTTGAGCAGTTGATACATGCCGAACGGCACAACACAAAGTGCCGTGATGATCCATATCGGCGAGACCTTCTCCATATTAAAAGCGTACTCTTCCTCCATACTGGGCAATCAATTCGTAAATATCGAGAAATGGAAGCGACGGTGGTCTTGGAAGTTGATGTGGTTGCGGTTGGAGATGCGCCTGACCCACGTGTACGCCTTACCAAGGCGCCAAGACATGTCAAACCTACTTGAGTAACCTCGGTCATCGGTCATCATCGAACCTTCAATGGCACGCAGTGGCGTCAGTATGATACAGCAGTCGTGAGAAAGTTGGATTAGTAAACACATTGTTAAGCATTAAGGCCGGAAAGGACCGCGCTACCTAGGTGTCCGCAGTTCAACGCAATGCCGGCTTTACTGTGTCAACTATACAAAAAACGCTCTCGAATAGCTTCAACGAGTTTGTTTGATCTTGATTCATCTAGCCACAGTCCTACTATCTGGACCCTTACACCCTCTTTCCGAAAACTCGGAACCGCTTCACACCTCCATCCGGGATAATCACCAACTTCGCATGCGTGTAGCCCCTGCCAGCCACCTCCTTCAGCTCAGCCTTATACTCATGCTCCTTATCCGGACCCGTCTTTTGCGGCTCCAAAACCTCAACCCACTCCTTATCATCATGAGCCGGATCCTTCTCAAAGCTTCCAGCAAAGACCTGCACCTTTTGCGGGAAGTTGCCCCTAAAGTGCGCAGTGTCCACGACAACGTGGTCAATCTCACCCTTTGCGCCTAGCCTGACAATCGTCCAGTCGACGTGTTCGCCACGCGTGCGCTTCGTTTCCCAGCCGTCACCCATGTCTTTCCCGCGACCGGGGAGGAGGAGGTTGTCTTTTGTGCCGAAATGTTGGTCGGAGCACGCTGTTGCGACGCCTCCCATGACTGTTGCTGAGAGCTCGAAGATGGCATCTGCGGATTGGGGGAACACGGGCACGGCGACACCGTAGAGGCGGAAACGCGCAATGCCACCGTCGGGGTACATGAGGAGCCGGACGTGGGTGTACGCTTTTTCCGTAATGTTTGCCAGCTTCCATCCGTGCCGTTGGCTAGGTCCACACTCCTGCTTTGACAGAATCGTCTCCCAACCCTGGTAGCTTGGCTTCTTCACCTCTTCTTCCTCCTTCTCATCCGTGATAAAAGCACCCTCGACGGCAATTTCTGGTGCATGATTTCCGTTGAAGTGTGCCGTGTCGATTTCTACACCTGCTACTTTTCCGCTGGCGGTACCCAGTCTCAGTACCACCCAGTCGGCGGGTTCGGTGTTGTGACGTCGGGTTTCCCAACCGTCATACCAAGCTCCCGTATGTACGAAGACACCAGGTTTACGGACTGCTGGAGTCGGCGTTATGAGATTCTCGGCTGCAGCGAAGTATTCATCACTGAAAGAGAGGACTTTGGAGCCAAGTGGTGCAGATATGAGATCTCAATGCTTGTTAGATCTTTTGTCGAAATGCAAGGGTTATGGGCTTCTCACCAGTGTATTGGGACTTGAAAGTACTATCGATCTCATCAATTGGTATCGATTGCGCAGTGTTTGTGGCTACGCTTTTGACATCTTCTGGTGAAATGGTGCGAATTTCCATTTTGAGAGTATGATATGCAAGAAGAATAAGAAGATAAATGCAGTATGCTGAAGAGAGAGAAAAGTAGGAAGTTTGTTTTGGGATTTGGCTGACTACCAAGAAGTCATGGCGGGGTGGTGGAGTGGTGGGGTAGCTAGACCCTGCGTGCCAACAGCTGCTGCTGCTATCGGAATCCGCCGATGCCTCCGCCGACTCGATGGATATTGACGGGCCGATCACGGAGTGATACCGATAACTAGATAGCTACCTTACATAAGACTCTCATTATCGACAGTCATTCCATGTATTGTTTGTAAAGTGTTTGACTCCTCTCGCTGTGAGATGGGCCGATGCTACAGTAAGCGCGCTGTTTGCCCGGCGGGACGCACGATAGGGAAAAATTGATGTGTCCGTAGTTGACACAAAAGATTGAAGTAATGGCAAACAGATCTATGCATACCCTGATACTATGGTAATATCCAACTTGGGTGCTGTTGCACCCTTCATCCCCCAACGGAATCAGCATCGTTCTTGCGGTTGCAGCCGAAACAGTATGCCTGCATCCTCAGATCTGGTTTGCGTGCCGTAGGGTAATTGATAGAGTATTCCTCTTTGGACCGTCTCTCGAACCAGGTGCCACGTGTGTATCCAAGTCATATGCGGCAATGCAACAAAGAACGCGACGGTCAGCAGCAACGAGATGTTGTAGAACGGAACTTAAAAGAATCCGGTCTTCGTCTCAACCAAGCAATGTGGATGCGACTATCAAAGTCTCAATTAGCAGGGCTCTCAATACTGCCGATCTTCATCTTCACCCATAGCTCGGATCGTTCCACTGCGTTTCAGAATAATAGGAGCTTCCATTCTTGTTGTTGCCTCCATTCAAGTCCAACTTGGCCATAAACTCGGGGGGTACGGTGGGAATGTATTTCCGCTCTCGTTCTTTGTTAACACCTCCGAATCCGGCACCGTAGGTGATGAGCATGTCCGTTGACGTTGGAAGTGAAAATGGCAGCATGTACGACGGGTCTAAGAGAAGCTCGTCCGGTGGCTCGTCCTTCTCGTCTTCTTCCGACATGCGCGAAGGCGCAGGCGATGGTTCGACAGGTTTATCGGAAGTAGGCCTGACAGGCGTGGTTGGTACGGATTCCGATGCTGGCGGCGGATTGGGCGACTTTGTGCGTGCGGCTTTACGATCAGCGGCAGCTTTTTGCAGATGTACAATGTACTTGGAAGCGCTTTTCGGAAGGCCTTTCTCGCCCACTTCGGGCCGGTAATATTTCGCGGTGTGTAGTAGCTGTTGGGGCGACAGACGTGTAAGCTGTTGCAGAGTACCCACGAGCGACTCTAGGTCTTCCCCGAGTGAAGAGAAGCATTGAAGCCATTGCAGAAGTTGTACCAGAGGCTCGAGATGCCGTTTAGCAGCGTCCGCGGTGTTCTCGCCGGTAGAAGTCATGGAGCCGTTCTCGTAATGTTCGGGTTGCCGGTTGTTGGAACGAGCCCAGTCTTCGAGCGTCGAGACGTTCATGCGTATTTGCATAGCTTTTGTCCGTGCAAGATACTTCCGGTTCGACATTATGCGGTTGAAGACTTCGGCGGAAAGCCAGTAAATGAGCTGCGATAGCACCTGCGCAGCAATGACAGAGTGCACATCATACAGATCAAGGACGAACAGGGTGGATGATAGGAGAGAAGTGATGTTTCGCGGTGATGGCTGTGCTCTGCGCTTTGGAGATGGCGGTCGGAAGCGTTTCTCGAGAGGTTCTAATGGCTTTGCCTTGGGTTTGGAACGAAATATTTTCCATTCGTGTTGGAACTGTACGTCTTCGAAACCAGGCATGGGCTCATGGTCGAGCATTGCCTGGTCCAAGTTCTTGTCCATCCTTCGCTCAGCGTCACGGATGATCAAGATGAAAATCTCATTGATAAGTTCTGCCATCTGCAGTTGGAACTCAGTAGTCGCACTCGTGAGCCCGCCGTCTTTCTTGAGGTAATGTAAAAGCAGTGTCGCATTGGACATCCAGAAGGCCAGCACAGTCATATCCCACTGGTGCTTTTCTACAACGTCGTTTATCTTGTTCATGGCAGATACCAGCAGGGTCTCGAGAAGTTCCGGGTTCGCATGATAGTGTGCGTAGCGGGCACTCAGGAAGAGTATGTTTGCGGGAACTGGCTTTTGCGACGGAGAGCGCTGCGGCGTCATGTTTGTGATGATAATGTCCAGTATACGTTCCAGCTCGCTTTCTTGGAAGACAAACATTTGGTCGTTGAGACATCTGTCCCAGATGAACTCCTGCGCTTCTTCTTCTGGCTCTTCAGGTGACTCGGGCTGTTCGTCTAAGCCAAGGTTGCCAATGTCAACCTCGAGATTGAAAGCACTCTCCATCATCATGCGCCGTTTCAAGTCGTTCTCCTGCATTTCTTGCTCAAAGCGGTCCTGAGAGAATCCAGAGCTGTAGAAGTCGTCGCCAACACCGACGTTGCCAATCGCGTATCCGCTCTCGTGTAGATAGTCGGACAGCTCGGTGTTGGGCTCGACGAAATCGAAGGCGGTCCTTCCTCCAGAAGACTTGACATCAGTCGATGCGCCGTGGTCGAGCAGAAGTTTGACGATGGCCTTGTGCCGATTTGTCATGGCCCACATGAGCGGCGTCCAGCGATTCTTGTCCTGCATATCAACAGTTGCGCCCTGCTCGAGAAGTGTAGCTGCCACGTCCTCGTGTCCAAAACAGCTTGCGTAGACGAGTGGCGGCGTGCCTTCGGCGTCGACGCCGTTGATGTTGATGTATTCCCGCGTTTTCCCATCCAGCAGCCGCTTGACTCTTTCCAGCTCGCCATTCGAAGCGGCCAGTGTAAAAAGCCCCTGTAAAGCCTCTTTCTTTTCCTCGTGTGACAACTTGTCGTCGGCGACAACCTTGGCCTCGTCGCCTGCATTGTCGTTCTTAAGGCGCGCTTGGTGGGCCAGCATCTGCACGAGGCGACTATCGCTGTCCTCGAGCTGCTGCATGTCTTCGTCGCCAAACGTGGGGTCGTCGAGCGAGAGGTTGAAACTGAGCGGGCGGGCGGGCATGGGGGTGGTGAGAAATTGCGACTGCCCTAGGCGACGTCAGTTCCTCGTGGTTCATTGCGCCTTCCCTATCCGACACTTACCCTGCCAGGCGTCGTAGATTTCGGTTTCCTCATTCATGATGGTGACAGGCCGCCTGTCATTGAGGGAAGTGGGCAGGTCGGAGGGGAGTTGTCGTGGCCTCATGGGTTCCCCAAGGTCGCCTGAATAGGCATGCTCGTGGTCGGGCGAGTCCATTGTGTGACATTGAATAGGGTGGATGTGGAAGGATGGTGTTTGCTATGACAGCGGCTACCTCTGCGGAAGATGCATGTGTCAAATGTCGAGGGATGCCCGGTCGCCTGTGGTGGGGCAGCTTCAGTCTAACAGTGGCGGGCAGGCAGAGGGTGCTATGGGGGCGAAAGTCGGTCGCAGTGGGAAATTGCGACTGGGCGTATTGCTGACCCGCCCGGCGGAGGTGGTAATAATGCAGCGTCGGTATGCAGATGATGCAGACGGCACTACTGGCCCTGAACCACGATGATGTCGCTACCAACGGCTCCAGCCCGAGGGCTAACGCGCCAGGCCGATCTTCCGCTATGCCAGATACAGCCGTCCCAACTTGCGCGGGGGGTGCTCGCCTGCCTGCCAGCCACACATGGTCCACGTTGATATTCGCTGCGGATGCATGCTTGGTTTTGGTTTCAGGGCGCGTTGGGCTGGGCAGGGAAACGTTACTTTTGCGTGCGGTGCGTTGGGCGCAAACTTCCGCTACAGCGAGCCCATGTCGATTATGACGTCTAAGAACAAGCGCGAAGTCTGAGCGCGCATCTTCGCAGTCCGTCTGCTGTGGCTGGAATGCCATCAGTAAGCACTCCACATGCGCGTCTGCTCCCTCTAGAACACTGGCATCAACAGCCTACCGGACTCTCCTTTACGCCCCTCCCGTCGCTCCCAACACTCCCGACGACCGCGCTCTTGACATGGCAGTCGCGCCCCGCTGATGCTGTGATGGATAGATCGAGCGCCTGGCGACTTTACCCTACACATTGATTCTCTACATCCCACCCAGAGCATGTCTTAGATCCCTGGCGGTTGCGAACATCGGAAAGACACAATGACTCGATCGGAAGGAGGCGGGCGCACGCAGCACTTCTCGCACATCTTTGCGCGTCTGCAGGAGCTGCAGAACTATGGCTGGGACACGGACATTGAGCCCTTCCACTCAGTAAGAGGCGTCGCATAGCCCAGGTTGTCGCTGCACCATGCTAACGTCGGATAGTCGTATGATAACTGGCATTTCTTCGGTTACGAGAAGCAAGCGCCCCGGCAGGATCGCCCTGTGTCAAGAGGAAGGAGCGCCGTAACCTCCCCCACCTCTCTCAAGCTGTCGCATTCGCCCGACTCCCTGACCCGAAGCCGCCCAACCATAACACGCACTCACCGCAGTTCGGGCTCCGATGCGAGCGCCTCTACCGTACAAACACACCGCACCAACACCACCGCCAAAGGTGTGGCGAGAGAAGGCCGGACCGTCGTATGCCGTGTCTCGCAGCAGACTCTGCGCCTCGAACGCGAGTTCCAGCTCGCCAAACTCGTCGTCAAGGAGTCGGATCCAGAGTGCAAGCACTTTGTTCGGCCCATAGAATTTGTGAGGCTATCGACCAAAGCCGGCGAGGAGCCTCTTGTCGCCAGCATATTCGAAGCCCCGGGGCCCAACTACCTCAACGACTTGGTCAACTTCGGCCCCAATTTCTGGAAGGTTAGCAGTCATGGACAGAGCGGTCAATCAGATGCTTCATTGCCCAACCGTGGAATACCTCTCCTTACCTTCCTCGACTTTGCTGTCGGATCAGTCGAGTGTCTGGAAATATTGCACCACGGTCACGAAATTGTCCATGGAGAAATTCGGGGCGATGCCTTCCATTTCGCTGAGAACGGGACAGTCAAGATGATCAATTTTGGATCGGGCGCA